GGGCGGGCATGATGACACAGGGGAGGTGGGTGGGGGGCAGAGCTGTGAAGGGGCCCACGTCAGATGCCCCCAACCTTTTCAGCACAGGAAGGGAGTCTGTGGGCACAAGACTAGGAAGGGTTTGATGCGACCCTGAGGGAAATGGGGACATCGACCACGAGGTGACTAACACACGTGAACATCACAAGCAGCCAAGCTTGAAAGGCAGCCACTTGTACCAGATTGAGCACTACCAAATGCAAGATGGGAAGCTGTTCTGCTTTGTTCTGTTCTGTTTTATTTTTTTTTTTATTTTTTTAATTTTTTTTCAACGTTTATTTCTTTTTGGGACAGAGAGAGACAGAGCATGAACGGGGGAAGGGCAGAGAGAGAGGGAGACACAGAATCGGAAACAGGCTCCAGGCTCTGAGCCATCAGCCCAGAGCCCGACGCGGGGCTCGAACTCACGGACCGCGAGATCGTGAACTGGCTGAAGTCGGACGCTTAACCGACTGCGCCACCCAGGCGCCCCTGTTCTGTTCTGTTTTAAAAGCAGAGAATCGTGATTTAAAATCATGCAATATAAATGGAATGTTGGTTTTTTTTTTTTTTATCTATATGAATGTCCCTACATTTCTAAGGTTCATCTTCTCTGTACAATTCTAAATACCATTAGCAGGTAAATCTTCCCCAGATTGTTGAGTTAAAGCAAACAGTATTCCAAATAGAAGTAATAATAAGTGCATACATCATCCCAAGTTGGACAAACATATGAACAAAACAAAACAGAGAGAACAGAAACAAACCCTTAAATACAGAGAACAAAATGGTGGTTTCCAGAAGGGAGAAGAAGGAGGAGATAGAAGAAATAGGCGGAGGGCATTAACATGTATAAACCTCCAGGGGCACCTGGGCGGCTCAATTGGTTAAGCATCTGACTTCAGCTCAGGTCATGATCTCACGGTTCGTGAGTTCAGGCCCCACATCAGGCTCTATGCTGACAGCGTAGTGCCTGCTTGGGATAATCTCTCTCCCTCCCTCTCTCTGCCCCTTCCTCACTCATACACTCTTTCTCTCTCTCTCTCTCAAAAATAAATAATAAATACATTTTAAAAAAAAAGAATTGCAAGGAAAAATACTTCAAAAAATGTACAAACCTCCAGTTATAAAATAAATAAGTCATGGGAATGAAAAATACAACATAGTCACTAATATTGTGATAACACTGTGTGATGGCAGATGGTGACTCCTGCTACCATGGTGAGCATTATGTAATGTACAGAATTGTCAGATCACTGGGAATGCAAACTGGTGCAGCCACTCTGGAAAACAGTGTG